CATCTATTCATTTTATCCTTAAAACAGGCTAAATAATATACACGGCTGTAATAGTAGTCCATCTAATCTTTTATTATTATTATTATTTTATTGTTTTTTTGGTGAAAGTATACACAGCAAAACAGGTCCCCATTCAGCCATTTCTGCACATAGTATTCAGTGACATTGGTTACATTTTTCACATTGTATCTGTAATGCAGAGTTGCCGAGATACCAGGACACGGAGTTGTTTCAGAGAAGCAGTTTATTAGCACTCCCGGGCGAGGTTCTCATGCCCTAGCATCAAGGCCAGAGAAGTCGCACCCCTGGGCAGGGGGGACAGATTTTTATAGACACAGAGAGGACCTAATTGGGGCACCAAGGAAATGACAGGGTCCGTTAAGGAAATGGCAGGGTCCAATTAGCTGCTAGCATGGGTCTGCACTTAATTAACATGAGGGGGCTTCACAGGAGGAAGTTTGTCATTGTATGGAACTTTCCAGCCTGGGCGGGTTCTGTCACTTCGGTTGTCTTATCAGGCTGTCTCTTCAGGGCCTGACACCTGGAGGAAGCTGCCAACTGACATATTGGGGCTTGGGTTTACTTGGCCTAACAGTATCAGTAGCCTTATTTCTCTTCTAGTTGTTCTGGTCTCACAGCCCCGGAACATCTAGGCTTTAGAGTAACTCTGCCTTTTGGTCCCATATAGATTTTTTTTTCCCCCCAAAGGAGTGCAGTATTCAAGGGTAATATTCTTTACTTTATGAGCTAACCTGCTATTTAGCTAAAAGGTGACTTGACTTCGAAGGATAGTTTTGGCTCTAAGTTTAAAGAGTCTCGCACATCAGTAGTCTTTGGGAGTCCTGCTGTCTCAATTTGTCCATTAAGTCTGGATTTTTTGAGAATTTGAGGTTCAGTTCCACATTTTTATCCCTTTCTATCAGGATCCACCTATTGTGGCCTCTATCAGAATGTGTAATATTGGTAGCTGGGTACCATCTATTTCTGGTTTCAGGACAGTGGAGGCTGTGGTTTATATAGATAATCTTATAGACCAGTTCCTTCTCTGAACGTTGGGTTTTCTTCCTTTTCTTTTGCTCCAGATGAGGAGAGACCAATAGTTGTATCTAAGACTTAAGATGCTACTCACCAAACTAGGATGTAGAACATAAATCTGTCTAATCTTGATTGAGTTTCTGCTCTATGCCAGGCACTATACTGAACGTAAACTCTCTTCCTTAATCATCACAAAGACCCTGAGTGGTCGGAGGCTTCATTCCTATTTTCTAGATCAGAAATAGTAGAATACAGAGAGGTTTTTGGTATGCCCATGGCAGAGGTCACCTCTGGCCCAGTGTTCCCTTCCCACATTGCATTTCTGGAGCACTTGCACACACTTAAGTGCATCAGAGATTTCGCTGATGCCTGCACAACAGCTAGAGAAGCTCACGTTGTTGTTATGTGCCGTCAAGTCACACCCGACTCATAGCAACCCCTCCTTGGGTTGCTGAGGCAGTATCACTATGGAAGTAGATTGCCCAACCTTCCTTCCGAGGAGTGGCTGGTGGGTTTGAAACGCCAGCCTTCTGGTTAGCAGTCAGGTGCCTTAGGCACTATGCTACCAGAGCTCCCAGAGAAGCTCATAGTACCTGCAATTGTAGGTGAGGATTCTGAAATGGTGAGGGAAAGCAACTAAGTACTGAAGCCAGGAAATAAGTGGTTGAGCTGAAACTCACACTTCATCTCCTGGAAATAGATGGTAGAAAACAAGGCTTTTGAGCCCAGTGTTGAGCTATCCTTCTTGTCTTCTGACTTTTAAAATTCTAAGTGGTAGCATATCTTTTTTTTTTTTTTTTTTATTATTAGGATTTGGGTGAAGATTTACAGAGTAAATTCACTTTTCATACAGCAGTTCACATATACTTT